TAACAGAGCCGGCGCGAAGATCGGTGGCCTTCACAGCTGACTCGCGTTTTGAACTGTTCAGTTATTTACAGAACCTTGTTGTAGTTATTGTCGCGTCGATACCTTTCTTTTTTACGTCTGCTATAAATTGTATTCCCCCTGTGTATTTAAATATCTATTTATAGATAGTAACATAATTTACATTAACAACTATTAGTTGGGGGAGGGGGAAAGTGAAGTAAAATGTCAAAAGAGAAAAGAAATAGACGTGAATTATTTCAAATGTGGTTTTACAGTGATCCCCCAGTGTTTTGTACTGTGTGTGAACGCATCATAAATTCTTGTTACAAAACTAAAGTGACAAGACATTTGAAGAGCCATGCCATGAAAACTCTCTGTATTTTTCTATGAACTTACAGACGCCTTTCTTTCATGCAATATTCCATTAAACAAACTAGAGAATCCCAAGTTCTGTAATTCCGTAAATTGGAATCACATGGACTATCCCTAAATGAACAATTTGATATAATGGATGATGTACAAAAAATATATACGATGCCAATAATATACGCCCAATCAGTAGTACGTTAAAAGAAAAAATGCGTGTTGGAAAAAAATCCAAGATATACCATTTTGGAAAACATTTGTAAAGTTTTATCTGGTACCTACATATCAGGAACTACCAGCAAATGTATTAATAATATGTAGTTCATGTCTCAACAATTTCTCATACTGTCTCAACAGTTGACGAAAACTTAGAAAAGCACAAAGCACGTAGTAATATGTTTTAACTCCTTCCAATATGTCACGGAAGCTTTGTCTCAACACTAAGCTTTATCGGGTAAGTGGTGTCATTTAATTTTATATAGGTATTTTATCATTCTACTTAGCCTTGCTCTTTGGTAATAGTAAACATATTAATATTTTCATTCGTAATCTGACTACGGTCCTGTTAAACTTAGCGCTACACTAAGCCTACTTATTACACAGGAATGTTTCTTTAATAAAGTTCTATTTGTGCTTTTTTAATTTACAGTCATCTCTTCGATGACACTATTAGCGTTTTCCTTTTGTTGTGACCTCGTGAACACGATTTGAAGTTACACATTTCTTGGTTGATTTTAAAAATGCGACATTGTGATTAGTTATTATTGAATCCTTATTTGGAACATAGGCATACTACAATAGTATTCATTTGACAGTCTGTGAACAGGTATTCTGTATTTTCAGATCACAAATCGTTGTATTATTTACTGATATTTTCAACTGGCAACTACCTACTGATTTACTAAAAATCCACCTGGCAACACTGCCCGTAAATTCGATCCGTTGCCGGCTGGCCCATAAAGTTTGCGCAACGCAGACACGCCAACTGAGAATACTCGAATCCTCTAACGCCTTTTCACACGTTCAATTATTATTTCACCTTCCACGTTCCTCTTCCCATATCGCCGATTCAATCATTATTATCATTATTAAAATCGTCGTTTCGCAACGCGTTGGAGAGTAGTAAAAACATGGTTCACAATTTTTGTGGGAAAGCTGTTTTTGTAATTATATGCTGCTGGTTTTGTAAAAGCGCTAATGCGATTAGGAATCTGAATAATTTGTGTGTATCGCTCCGGCTTGAAATCAGTGAAGCTTTGCATAATTAATATTAGACGGGCAATACCAACTATTATTATGACGTCACAGGTGCAACATTCTAGTCTTGTATTCGAGTATGCCTTGAAGATATCCATAACAGCTGTTTTACATTGACAATTTATTGATGAATAAATTGACGAAATTCTTCATGAATTAATTCACGAATTTATTGGTAAACAGTGTGGTTTAACATTGCTACAGACTTTATCAAGTTTTTTGACGCATGAATCAGTTCTACCGAACGAATCAAAGAAGCAAATAAATTTCAAAAATGTCACCTTTCCACTCATAATTATTGTAGTGATACAACAGCGGTACTGTAAGTAACAAATCAGTAAAAACAATGCAAAACTAGTACGACGCCACACAATTATTTACATATTCCAATAACATAACCTCATTACTGATCTGACGGTGGAAATCTGTTAAGTTGGTACTTCCGAACTTCACGAAGAAATTGACGAAAATTAGAACATGCTCTAATTCGTCAAGAACTTGATGAATAAATTCATGAAGTTATTTGACAGCAGATTTGATGCATTACACTTGTCCAATTTCTTGATGAAACAGCTATTAGTTTTTAATTTTTGAGATGTGTTTTTGCAGTTAGTTGAGATTCTTCCCTTCGTCACTATTATTTTAGTCCAGATTTTGTACACGGTTTTGTATGTTTGCGGACAAATATATTATGTAGATTTTTACCAGGTTTACTGTTTTTTAAATGCTATTTTTACATCTTGCTTCATTTAATAACGGGCCTAATATTATACCTCTAGTAGCTAGGGCTAGCAATTTTCATAAATACTACATATAATTAAAACGCATTTATTGCGTCCATTTAAGCTTTAAATTTAATGCAACCACTTGGGAATTTTGATCTTAAAAATCTTATTAAACCAGAACAAACATAAATTATTAGCCTTAAAAAAAAACTTTTTAATTACGGTCCTGTACGTTTTATATCATTTATACCTCTACACACGAAGCGTTTGATAATAATTACTATTTACATAGTTACATGTTATTTATCGTTTATTAGACATGATATAAAGTAATATTAAGTTTTTATCTAGCTTAATCTGCTTGCTATATATGTAGGTACCTGTTATTAATTCTTGCCTATGTGCGTGTCATAGTCAGATTATGGTTGAAAAAAAAAATAAACGGGATTAATAAATAAATAAAAATATTAAGATATATTATCTTGGATTGACATATTAAAGGTCGATAACAATTAAATAGCAATTACTAATTAAATTCGTTTTATCATTTTGTGGAGTAGAAGCAACTTACATCGTAAAAATCCCAATTTATCGAGAACAGATATGCGATACTGGGGGTCACTTTAGAAGTTTGTTATCCTACTTGAGATAAAACTAAGGTAATAAAATCAAAATTGTACCCATTCACCAGGTGTTTTGAACGTAAAAAAATAATACGACTTTTCTCTGTCGTCTTTTGTTTATGAAATTATGGATTTGGAATTATACAATTCTCGTGGCTGAAAACATACCTACATAACGTAGGTATTGATGGAGAGAGATGCACTAACCAAATTTGGACAAGACATAGCTAATACAATGCGAAACATCGCTTTGTTGTTAAAAATGTTGTCACCGCCGTTTTTGGTGATGAAAATATCTGGAATTGAAGCTGTTTTAACATACATTGACAATTTATTGATCAATTAATTGTCAAAGTCGCTTCATCAAGAAATTGGACAAGTGTAATGCACCAAATCTGCTGTCAAATAACCTCATGAATTTATATTCATCAAGTTCTTGACGAAGTAGAGCACGTTCTAATTTTCGTCAATTTTTTCGTGAAGTTCAGAAGTGCCAACCCAACAGATTTCCAGCCTCAGATCAGTAATGAGGTTATGTTATTGGAATATGTAAATAATTGCGGCGTCGTACTAGTTTTGCATTGTTTTTACTGATTTGTTACTTACAAAAACTAATATTTATATAATATGTGTCAAAACGGTACCGCTGATGTATCACTACAATTATGAGTGGAATTTTTGAAATTTATTTGCTTCTTTGATTCATTGGTAGAACTGATTCATACGTCAAAAAACAAAAAACTTGACAAAGTCTGTAGCAGTGTAAAACCACAGTGTTTACCAATAAATTCGTGAATTAATTCATGAAGAACTTCGTCAATTTATTCATGAATAAATTGTCAATGTAAAACAGCTATTATACTATTATACAATTTTTGTGACTGAAATCATACATAGGTATTGGATTTTTGATACCGAGAGAGCTGCACTAACCAAATTTGGACAGGACATAGCTAATACAATGCGAAACATCGTCTTAATGTTAAAAATGTTGTCACCGCCGTTCTTGGTGGTGAAAATTCGAAATATTTGAAATTATTCAATTTTCGTGGCTGAATACATAGGCATTGTCGAAATCAAGAGAGTTGCACGAACAAAATTTAGACAGTTCGTAGATAAAAACGTACATACCTACTTACATACCGTTGCCAAAATTGTAGGCATATTGTCAATTTGGAGATCAGTGGGCCGGGAAATAGGAATACTATTCTATAGGCGTATCATTTTAGAGGTTTCTAAAAATTTTTGGATATAAAACAACTAGTATGTGTTTTAGAAATGGTAGCAACTAGGCTATCCCTATAAAGGTGCTTTTTATTTATACTAAATTTTGTATTTACCTGTCCTGTCCTCGTAAAGTGGTCTACTACCACTACTTACGTAGTATTGTAACAATAAGTCCACAAAATCAGTAAAATTACTAAAACTACTGTATATGTATAAATATCACTGAAATATGAGAGGCACCACCAATATGATACACATTTTATATTTGTAATATTCAGCGGGTTATTTGCTAAACTAAAAACTAAACTTTTTGATATTCTGTATGTCGCTAAATTTGCGGCACCTTTTTCCAAAACACCCTGTATTTGACGATGTTAATTTTTCTTTTAGTTATACGATCTCAATTTGTTGTCACAATCGCGTTGTTTTAAAAATATCTTTTCTCACTTACCTACTAATTACTGTTTAAACAGGTTTAAATACAATTTTAAATTAACTCCTTACATCTCTGTATTATCTGAACACAATAGTCGCGATGGTGGTAACGGCTGAATAAAAAAGTAATGGTTCAGTGCAATCCCTCAATTTTTCGCCTGTATCCAAAGACGATTGTTTACCTACACCTACCTACCTACCTACCTACCTACTCATAGGCAACAATTAAACCGTGTACTATTGTGCTACCTGCTCAGCTATGCGAAACGCCGTCAGACTTGAGGAATAATCAATACCTGATGAAATATCGAATCCATATTTTGTGCTCGGTGTGGGCGGGCCGTGACTCTTTTGACATTTACTCTATGTAATTCGGCCGTCTGTGGCTTAAAAATAGTCAAAACCCGTAATTATTTCTAATTATATCCCGCGGATAGAAAACGAGGTTATCGTACCCCGGCGAAGCGTTTCGGGAATAGGGGTTGGCTGTGGCTGTGAATCGATAGGTTGTTGCCATCTACCGGAGAACGCCGTTCAAATGTTCCGTTGATGTTCGTTAGATAAAAATGAATGCCAAACTAGTGAGCCACGCTGTTTTTATCGCGAGAAATGGGCGGCATTCCGCCTAGTGCCTAGTGTGCGTGCGGCAAACAAAACGCCGATAAAAAAATCAAATCCTCGGTGTTCGCGTGAATGGAGTACTCGCAGTAGTGCACTCGGGCAGTGTTACGTAGTGGATTATCTATCGCTTCTGTGGGATGACCTTAAACAATGGGAGATAATTAGAGATGAAAAGACACTTGGTATAATTGCAGAACACAATAGGAGGATTTGCATATCCGTCGATCTCGCCGGTTTATCCTTACCTGTGTGAATTAATCAGATTAAACGAGGATAAAAGTAAAATGACGGCAACCAGCGTGTTTATAATAAACTTGACCGTAATTCGCTGCCTAACGGGCGAATCGTGTTCACACTAGGATGGCGCGGAATCTTGGCCATTCCAAATTCTACGGCATGTGATCTATTGGCAAGGATCCTAGCGAGTTGGTGCTAACTCTTCTGTGTAAATAATTAAAATTGAAGCTTGCGATAGCGCGGACTGGCTTTTCAGTATCCGAATTTGATTTATTGATACCATCTCGAATTTCGCCCGTGCGGGTACGTGGTTATTCTTACGGGCAAGACCAGGATTCGACAAACACGATTTTTACATGACTACTCTCGAATCTCTAATTCCAAGAAGGTCACGGTTATTTTTAGAGATGCAAAGGAGTAAGTTGAGGCAGCAGGTGTCCATGTGCATGCCAAGAATAGAGAGAAGAAGATACAGAATAGGTACCTATCATACTTTTACCCCTAAAATGCTACATCTGATAAATTTACTGGTTCATATTATTTTACATTAGGTAAATTTTCAAAATTCATTATGGAAACCTTTTACATTTTATAAAATGCAGCTATATATTTTTCTATAAATTACACTTTATGTATTCTACAGTATTTGATGATTTATTTTCTGATATTATGACAATTATTATTAAACTCAAACGTTGAACACTCGTATAAGGATTAAAACATCAATACAATGACGTTTTATGTGACCTACTTCTATAAAAACATCAAATATGGACGAATATTGATGCGATATGTAAAGATATAGAACAGAACCACCTCACTTACATTTAGCTTAATTAAAATACAGAGATGTAGGTGTACTTTGGAATGTGTTTACAATTTAGCCTCATAAAATAAGATGAAATATTTAGACTTGTATTTACACAAACAAGAAATAGCTGAAGGACGTTAGATTAATACAGCATGAAGTTTATTAGTAAATAGGTACTTAGTAAAAACCGTGATTGATTAATATTTTTCTATTTTTATAACTTCTTACTAATAAAGGCTGCTATACTATCACATACTATACCAGTTCACAAATTATTCATTAAATTTTGTTGTAAACTTCTAGGAAATTAATAAGGTACTTATCATGTGTTTAGACCTGTATAAAAAGGAGAAATAAATACTTCTTTTAAAATCATTATTCAATTTTTCATTGATGTTTATGTTAACACCAGTTTTCGTTTTTAATTATCGGCAACAATTTCTGCACAAATGAAGAAAAGCTAATTAATTTTTTAAAAGTAGGTATTCAATGTATTTTTAAGCCAAACCAAGTCCAAATGTTTTCTTAAAACTCTGATATATTTACTCCAATACCAAAAATATCTACGTGTGCTAAAAAGCAACTTCAAAAACAAGCTAATAATGATATTGTAAGGGAAAAATGTTAAGTATATAGGTATTATTAAATATTATTAATTATTAATGAAAAAAACACAACTGACATATTTACCTAATTAATTAAATAATGTAAACTTCCAAAGAAATTAATCTCACTCCATGTTTGTAATATCACCTCTTTGACAAAGATAAACTCATCTAATAAGCCACAACAGACATTAGCTAACCTATTTCTGCAGTTTAAAATAAAGAAGCACAAAAGGTAGCATGAAAATCTTGAGCCCAAAATATGATTATTGGGTCAAATATAGACTAGTTGTCAAGTCCAAAGTTGTACCATTTGCAAGATACAGGGTGTTTTTAAAAAACATTACAAATATGCAGATATGTCGAAATATATTTGATGCAGATTAATGAAACTTGAGGTTTCGATTTAACTAAACAAAAGTATAAAAATTCATTAAATTTGCGTACAGTTATATCGACCAGTGACGCAGATACAAGGAGACTCTCATTAAATACCTCATTTCGATGTTACTGAGAATTTTGGAAATTCCATAAGATCATTTGATTCGCGATGGTATTTTAAAGAAAAAAAGGGATCTTCCATTTTAATCAAAATTTGTTTAGTGGTATATGTAAATTAAAATTACTTAGTTGAATAAATAATTGTAAAACTTTTCGTTTCACAAAAATTATTACAAATACAATTTGAAACATCATTAAAAATCCATAAAATTCAGTTGCCTGAAAATTTGTCCCTTAGAAAATTGAAAATATTTACAGCAATGATTTTTTTTTATTCTCAACGATTATATTGTATTTTATATTTGTATTTGAAACAAAAAATTGCTACAAATATATTTTTTAAATTAACACTTTTATTATTACTTTCTCTTTGTTCAATTTCAACTGTTCTAGAAATTTTGTTACAGACTAAAAAAAACAACTTAAAAAATTACGCGTTACAAAACACAAAATACAAAATACAAATTTTTTAAGATACCGTTATGAATCAAGTGGCTTTATCATGGCTTTATCGATTAGCAACGCATTCAGTGGCGTCAAAATTCTGACGTTGGTGTCCCCCAATGTCTCCGCCACTGGTGTAATACAGATTCAGCTAATTGGTTACCTTTATTTTGTTAACTTGCTTGGCTTGTACTATTTAACTAAATAGTTTTTTTATTATACATTTTTAATATAGCCTTTGAACTTAATTACATATAATAGTAAATTATAAAAAAAATACTAAATAAAAATTGCCTGCTTAACCCAACCCTGTTAGTTGTCATTTTTCGATCACGAAGGCTAGGCAACCAACTTTACCAACTGTACCACAGTTATTTCTGCCGAAATTAGGCGTCACCTTCTAGGCCAGAGTGGGTAGTTAGTTAATCATTACTATTTATAGCGTAAACTCGTTTGACCTTCACGAACCTAGTAGGAAATCAATTTAATCGAGGAACGACCCTTCGTTTGACAATCGATCCCTGGGATTGTCATCAGCTGTTATCTGTCAAAATTTAATGGCGAGCGATGACATCCCAAACTGAAACAAAAACAATACTTGTTCTGCGAGATGTTCCTGAAAGTGTTTGAAATAGATTAGGGCAGTTATATAAGAATAGCTTTGTCCAAACGTTAAATGTGCGTTGCCACAAGGGATATAATGGATTGTATGTTTGAAGCGTGCCTGGAGGCGACGTTGGAGCCCGATGATATACCCAAGACCAACGAGCCTGTGTGGATACTGGGGAAGAGGTATAATGCTATACAAGGTATGTATGATAATACCAAGATTGTGGTTCAATAAACACCCAATAACATTTAAAGGTGTGCAAAGTCTGTCACAATTCATTACATGGCCTCTGTATAAGATAGATAACGTATGAAGTTTTTGTTTTACATTACATAGGTGCTGTTTACAAAAAAAATTTTTAACGTCCAAAAAAATGTATTTAAAGTTGTATATAATCAATATAAAAAACAGACCGATGACCTCTTGGCCCTAGACTCATCAATTTTTCAGTTATAAAGTTGCAAGTCGGTATAAATAAGGTAAGTAAACTCAAAAATTGAATGATATCTTCTCAGTTAAATGTAAAATTGGCACAAAATTTTTTTAGTCTTATTTTTCCATGGAATCTAACATGAAGTTAATTGACAAAAAGCATCAAATTTTTAAATATAATTGAATTTTACATTTATGCTTATACTTTGCGTTAAATTTAAAAGTTTACATCACAATTAAATGGAAAATTCCTACGTTTTTTGTCAATGTTATCTTTTTTATTGAATCTAGTATAAAATTGCTAAAAAGCATTCAATTTTCAATTTTAATAAAATATAGCAGCTACGTTTATACTTTGCCCTAAACTATGAAAGATGTCCACATTTTATTCAATCTGTTATTTTATTTATTTGAATCTAATATGAAATTAATTGCTAAAATGCAACAAATTTTAAAATTTCACGATTATGTTTAAATACTCGTTTTGCTGAATAACTTGGTATTTTTTCCAGACATAAACAAAATTCGCCAAGATATAGTCTCGAAAATATGGATAACGTACCGCAAGAATTTCGTACCCATCGGCGGCGAAGAAGGACTTACTTCCGACAAGGGATGGGGGTGTATGCTGCGATGCGGCCAGATGGTACTGGCCCAGGCGTTGGTCTGGCTACACCTGGGAAGAGACTGGCTCTGGGATCCGCAGACGAGGGATTCGACGTACTTGAAGATCCTCAAAAAATTCCAGGAGAGGAGACAAGCGCCTTACTCTATCCACCAGATAGCGTTGATGGGCGCGTCGGAGGGCAAAGCCGTCGGGCAGTGGTTCGGGCCCAATACGGTAGCTCAGGTTTTAAAGTAAGTTTTAGAGTATATTCTATTCTTATTGTTTCTTACAGCCATAACACAATTTTGTACAAAGATAATTTATCCATGATAGTAGAGCTATACTGTTTCTGCATTTAAAAAATCATGTTTTGAAGTAGTCAAAATTTGCTTATAGTACAGTCATTGAAGCTGAAAATCAGCTGTAACCTCCGAATTCTTTGAAACTGCATGGATTTGCATGAAAATTTAGAATAATGCTCATCTTAGGCTCAAGTTCAAAAGTGACATAAGTCCGATTGACGCTTTTTGTTTTTTAAGTGAAAAAAATTGAAAAAATTAAGTTTTAAGCATTTTATTGATAAAAATCTTGTTTAAAAACAAAGATTAAATAATGTTCCATATTCTCGAACATGTTTTATGATATATTTGATCTTTTCGACCCTTTATTTAACCCTTAAAAACTACCCTTATGCAAAAAATAATGATAAAAAATTTCTTTTTAAAGATTTGGAGTGATTAAATCATGCAATTATTTAAAATAAGAGTTACCTTATACCTAATAAAAGAATTTTTCCTTTTCAACCCCTAAAAACCTCCCCTGTATTTACAAAAATTATAAAAAATTACTTTTTAAAAGCTTGGAATGCTATTATTTAAATTAAAAATTCCCTCATTACTTGTGAAAGAATTTGTATCTCATAACACTTTTCAACCCTTATAAATCACCCCTGTGCTAAAAAAGTGATAAAAAATTACATTTTAAATCTTGGAATGCTATAATTGTGCAATAATTTAAAATCAAAATTGCCTTATATTGTTTATGAAAGAATATTTTACTTTTGCCATTTTCAACTACCCTTTTACCAATATTAATGTAAAATATTTTTACTATAATCGATTTTTAAATATAATCAATCATAAAAAAAATTGCTACGCTGCATATAAATAATAATCGCACTAAATTTTTTTACTTATTTTATTTGTATAATATATAATATATAAAAATGAGAAAGCCTATTTTGCCCCGAAATAATGTCACTGGTTTTTTTACCATAACTCGGTTAATTTTGACGCTATAGTATCCTACAAAAAAACATTTTAAAGATAATTTCAAGAGCTGTAAGATCGTTTGCATATAAAACCTTTTAAGTACATCGTTTTTTAAAGGAAAAGGATCGAAAGGCTTGAGACAGATCATTTTTTCACTAAAATGGATACTTCAGGCGGCGATATCTCTTTTATTTTTTATGTTATAGGAATAAAAAAATAGCAAAATATTTTGAAAAACAAGCTACATTTTTGTTGTCGTATCATTTTTTACGTATCTCATAATTTCAGAGTTATTATACAGGGTGTCTCATAATTAGCTGCCAACCCTGAACAGGCCGATTCTATGATCAAAACTAAGTAATAAAGTTCATATGAACATGGGTCCAGAAATGCTTCCTAAGGGCACAGGGACCCATTGAAGAGGGAGGAATGGAAATCATTTTTTTGCAATATCTCAATCGCGTTGTGATAAATGAATGAAATTTGGTATACACAGCTAAATTTTTTGATGAGCATTGATGGACTAATCCATTTATTTCCACAAGGTCCATTGGGGTGGGTACGGGGGGGCCCTTGGTACTTTGCGTGTGTAACTTTTTCATCTTTGACTTTTTAACAAATTGGACAGCAAATTCCGTTTTCCCGAACTGTTTTACGTTAAAAAGGTACTCTTGTTTCAAATCGTTATCTTTAACGGTTTCTGAGAAAATCGCTCTTGAATTAATCCCACTTTGGTCAATTTCATAGTAATTTAAACAAAAAATAATAATAATAATTTTCCTTTCCTCTCTTTTCCATTTAAAGGATTAATTTTTATTTAATTTAATTTTTTATTATTATTTTTTTATTAAAATTAGATTAAATTTAAACAAAAAAATTTTTTTTGTTTAAATTACTATGAAATTGACCAAAGTGGGATTAATTCAAGAGCGATTTTCTCAGAAACCGTTAAAGATAACGATTTGAAACAAGAGTACCTTTTTAACGTAAAACAGTTCGGGAAAACGGAATTTGCTGTCCAATTTGTTAAAAAGTCAAAGATGAAAAAGTTACACACGCAAAGTACCAAGGGCCCCCCCGTACCCACCCCAATGGACCTTGTGGAAATAAATGGATTAGTCCATCAAATTGCTCATCAAAATTTAGCTGTGTATACCAAATTTCATTCATTTATCACAACGCGATTGAGAGATATTGCAAAAAAATGATTTCCATTCCTCCCTCTTCAATGGGTCCCTGTGCCCTTAGGAAGCATTTCCGGACCCATGTTCATATGAACTTTTTTACTTAGTTTTGATCATAGAATCGGCCTGTTCAGGGTTGGCAGCTAATTATGAGACACCCTGTATAAATAAGGCAATTATTGTTTGAATAATGAAAAATACGATTTCAACTTTTACAGTACATTATTAAAAAAATACGCATTCTAAACCGGTCTAACTTCAGGATCGTATGAAAAACACTAAAACAAAACTAATTGTAAAGGGTCTACGATTAATTTTAATTCTGATGGAAATGGTACAGCGTTTACTGCACATTTTTCCTTAAAAAATATGAGCAACCCATCTGTTTTTAACGATAACTCCTTCAATTTTGCTCTAATTAACTTTTATAAGTGCTCATTTTGAAGGTCTTATTGAGTACTACAAAAAACTTCCGGAGCGTTATACACGTAATTAATCCTTTTTCCGTTATTTGACGTTTAATACATCGATTCGAGTATTCCCCCCAAAACAAGTCCCCTTTTACTAACCATATTTCGCTTTGTATAGGACGTACAACACTTTTTAAAAAACGATTTTCTTTGTTTATTTATAAGCTACATTTTTGTTCATTACACTTTTTTTAATAAAATGCGTAGTTTTTGAGTTATTCGCGAAAAATACTTTGAAAAAGTGTTTTTTTTTTTTTCACTCACAATTCCAAGTTTTCAATCACAAATAACTAAAAAACTATTGACTTCTCGAAAAAATTCTTTGAATATTCTTTGCTCAAAATTTGATTCCCTATCGATTTCCAGCGTTATTCTTGAAACTAAATATCCACCCTCGAGAAGGGGTGTCAACCCCCAACAGGGTGGAAGCGTCAATCGGCGCTATGTCACTAATATTCATTGACCTTTTCTCTAACTATCTGCCAAATTTCAAGTTGATCGGTTCAGTTTCAAAGAAATTACGCAGAAGTACAATATGTATGACTTTAAAATATATGTAAATCTAAATTTAAAGCTGTGAAGTTTAAAGAAGCTGTAAAATTTACTATTTGTTTTAGGAAACTAGTAAAATACGATGAATGGAGTCGTTTAGCTATCCATGTCGCCCTCGATAACACTATAGTTATTAATGACATCAGTAAGTGTTGCGTGAAAATTAGATCGAGACAGAAGAAAATTTTTTATTCATGTTATAGGGGAGATGTGTCTGCCGCAATCAAAAATTGATGGTACAAATTTAGTTAGAGAGTGGAAACCCTTGTTACTTATAGTGCCTTTGAGACTAGGACTTTCAGAAATTAATCCTATTTACATCAGCGCAGTCCAGGTGAGACAATTTTTTTTTGCGATGATCGTAAACGACATTTCGTTATTCGTTTCAGAAATGTTTCCAATTCAAGCAGAGCCTGGGGGTGATAGGCGGTAAACCAAACGTGGCGCTTTACTTCATCGGTTGCGTGGGAAAAGAGGTGATCTACCTGGACCCACACAACACGCAAAAGACGGGATTCGTCGATAACAAGGAAACGGAAGAGCAGATCGAACTGGACTTGACTTACCACTGTAAATATGCTTCTAGGATAAATATACTCAAGATGGACCCGTCGGTAGCTGTGGTAAGAATGCTTTGGCTCTCGATGTGTCGGCGTCTCTGGATAACGTATCGTCTCTTTTGTAGTGCTTTTTCTGCAGAACTGAGGGAGACTTCAACGATCTCTGTCAAAGGATAAAAACGGAACTGATAGATCCCGAGAAGCAGCCGTTATTCGAGGTGTGCTACAACAAGCCCAAAGAGTGGTCCCCAACTTTGGAAAATGCCATAGAAGCCGGACCTGCCTCTTTTGCAGGTAAAAATTCTAGCATTTCGATAGAAAAATAAGAATTAAGTTCCCTCTTATACAGGGTGTCGCGCTTAAATATGATACAAGCCTGTAAATTTTTATTTCAGTCAAAAAACTAAGCTAGAGGCTTGTATCACATTTAAGAGCGATACTCTGTATATAAAAAAAAATTTAAATATAATTTCAAAACTAATTTTCTCAGGAACGGGTAATTCGATTTTGACACTTTTTTGTTAATTGTAGTTTTATTTTTCAGTAACGATGCTAAGTTATACATTTTTATTGAAATTTCAGTTTTCAGCATATACAGGGTGAAAGAAAAAAATAGTTTTTTCCTCGAAATTTGGTATACCTTGTAGGGATTCAACTAAAATAGTAAACCATGCATTTTTTGTCACACTTTTCTCGGTTTCTGAAATAATGATATTCTGATAACACGTTTTTGATTAATTTTTTAATATTTAATATTTTTTTAGGAATGAGGTCAGAGTTAATTTTTTCATATTTCTGTTTTTTAAATAACTCGGTCACACACAAAAAAATAGTCTGTACTTTTCATGCAACATATATTATCCGAAGTATTTTTGCCTCCCGATCACGAATCCGGTGTCAGAATTGAGCTATCACATCACAGGAATTTCCTAACCTCAAAAAAACAGGTAAAAATTAGCAAAAATTCATGAAAAAGTGCTAGAAAAAATACAAACAATTTTTTTTCTATATTCAAATGTTCATTTATATGGCTAGGACCCCGCCCAACGTGAATCCGCGGTCAGCATTAATGGTTCTTTTAATAACCTCAAAAAAACGGGTCAATTACAGTCAGATATCACGAATTTTTAAAGAATAACAGATTCGCGCCACATTTGGTATATGGGGGTTTTCGGGGTCGCTGACTACGAATCCGAGGTCAATTTTGCAAAATTCAAGGTGGCGGATCCAAAATGGCCGACCAAATTTTCAAATAATAACAGAATCGCAGCAAATTTGGTATACGGGGGTTATCGGGGTCGCTGATTACGTATTTGAGGTCAGAATTGCGAAACTTATTTTGTAATATTTTACTTTATAACCTGAGTACCCAATTATGTGTTATTCTACTTTTTTCGGCTATCTCTTGTACTTTTTTCTGTAAAAGATCTATTCACGGGTAGAATTTTGTAAATGTGATCTCGGATTCGTGATCAGTGACCTCGAAAACCCCCTTGTACCAAATTTGATGTGAATCTGTTATTTTTTCAAAATTTCGTCGGCCATCTTGGATCTGCCATCTTGAATTTTGTAAAATTGATCTCGGATCCGTGATCAGCGACCCCAAAAACCCCCGTAGACCAAATTTTATGTAATTTTATAGGTAAAATGAAATAACGAAATTAGAACTAATTTTATATTTTTTTGTTAAATAATTAGGTTTTAGTTTTTGCATTAGGCATCACGAAAAGTTAATTTTCATTGCCTAAAAAATTGTTCCGTAAAACTAACAATAATTTTTCGCTATTTGACCCCAAAAATAAATGAACTTCCACAAAAGTAGTTTTATTGAAAATAAAAACTTTTTTAAGTTGCACATAGTGCTGTACTACCATTACAAAGCACCATTGTAAAAATTATGCCTCAAAAATTTTTTTTTTTACATGATTTTGGTACAAAAAATGTGCACGTTATAGGATTGCTTTGAAGTAAATGTTACTCATTTTTAATTTTTCCTATTATGCCCCTTTACTTTCAGTAATTTAACGATTGACATACTTTTTTCCAGATTTCCAACCTTCGAGTCGGCACTTTGACTCCGACCATGAATTTGAAATACTTTAGAATAAATTTATACTCGTTTTTATGTACACTTTGGTCACGACGTGGATCGACGGCTAAATTTAAGTATCTAATTTGCCCTAAGATAAGAAAAGTGCTTTTTAAAGTGTGACCCGTTTCACTTTAAATAAAACGCATTTATTTATATTGTATATACAATTACAATTCTATGCTATAGTTATTTTGTATGTTACGTTTAGCGTTTTTTAATTTATACCTAAGAGCGATTAATTTGTAAAATATGGAAAATAAAACGATTGCAAAGTTTTTAACGTATTTTTTTTATTATTACACAGCAAATAACAAACGGAACAAACCTTACAGTCGTACGCTTAGTTAACGGTTCCTTTGGCACCACTACAACGCTCTATCGGATGTTTTTTATGGGTACCGTTTATTTTTGAAGTAACGGAAATAATACATTTAACATTTATTTTAAAAGGCAACACCAACAACTTTATATATAGAGTGTGTTTATTTTGTTTGAGTGCGGTCCAAGAGCTCTTTTAAACTTTGACGAAATTCGTTTAATTCAACGGAAAGATTTTTTTTTCTAGAATCGTTCGCCCCAAACAAAACAAACACGGTGTACAATACACTAATAAAAACAGGTACAATATCCTATAAATATTGAGCAAAAATACTTGTAGACCAACAACGATGCAACTTTAACATGATTTTTATTTTCAAACCACCGATATTTTTTTGTTTTTTTTTTTTAAGGTAGTCGGCAATTTGAAAACAGAAGAAAGGACGTAGCGAGAGAAATACAGAGATCTAACTATTTTGTCATAGACAAAAGAAAAATAAACTGTACGATTAGGGATGTTCTGAATGTTCTCGATTTATTTATAGTTATTTGTTAATATTTGCATTTGCGAGTACCTACGGAAAATCTCGTATCCAGAACGACCCTACTTACGATATTTAAATCACAGCGATATACAAGACACATTACTGGCCATTAAAAAATTTTGATTACTCCTACGGTTAAATGAGCACACGTTTATATAAAAATAGCAGTGTAACACTATCCCCCAAATAATCCAGCAAACGTCTCTTAAGTATTTTTATCGGTCCCGTTCCCGAATGAACTGTAGGCGTTGTCCTTAAAATTAATTATTATGACCGTTATGTTATCCAACGATCCCCTATAATAAGACTGTAAAGTCAGGCTTTTAGCACCGTAATCGGGTTCGTTCAGTCGTTCCTTTATGAAAGTGATGGCTTCCTCGTTCGAGAACGTATCCCACAACCCATCAGATGCGAGTATAAGAAACGACGGCTTGTGGTCCCTTAAATCGAACGTTAAAATGTCTGGATCTGCGATCACCAGCTTTTTATCTTTCAACGGGTAATCCCCTAGGGCTCTGGATGTGGCCAAGATGCCCGCCACCCTCCACACGCCGTTGAAAGTTACGAAACCGCCCGCTTCCTTAATCCGTTTGCGTTCTCGCATCTGCTGGGGCTTGTGGTCGAAGGACAAGGGAATTGCGTTACCTTTACCGTCACACATCACGCCCCTGGAGTCTCCGACGTTCGCCACGACTAATCGGTGACCCTCCAGCATTGCTATCAAGGCGGTGGTCCCGGCAACGTCCAAGCTTTTTTTTGCAATTTCTACCAACCTTTCGTCGGCGGCTAGTACTTCGTCAGTGATCAGTTTCCCGTAGTTAACGGTGCCGAATTTATCGAAATAGCTCGTAGCAGGTTGCTTCTTGAAACTAGGAGTGAGCTTCAGTGGTCTGGAATCACGTGTGATGGGTTTGATATTGTCTAGTTTACTCAACAACTCTAAGTCGGTTATCTCTTTGGCACCTTTAATACACTCGTCTGTCGTGGAACTAGTACGACGAAAACTCTTCCTGCGTTCAGGCAATGTCGGAGTTACTGGTTTCTCGGGATCTTTCTTCTCTTCCCCCTCGTAGTGTTTTATAGCTGGTGGAGCCTCTTTCCCAGTAATTAATCCCTTAATTTCAATAACTCTGTTGAACAAGTTCTGAGTTAATTTTTCTTTGGCAAAATTGGCAGCAAATTCGCCACCATGACCATCAAACACCGCGAAAAGGGCAACACCTGTGTTGTTAATATTATCGTTGATAACGAATCTATCTTCCATCTTGGGTCTCCTGCCTTGCACTGCATATGCCGCTATGGCCCCTACCTTCATCTGCCAACTGGCCTTCTCTACATCGGTGTTACTGAAGAAGTTCAGTTTATCCGCCTTAGACTTTGCTCCTGCTCTGTGGATGGTATACTGCAGCCTCCCTAGCAAATTACGACTCCATACATCAACTGCTTGCATGTAAACCAAAATAAATACGATCACAGCCCCGAGCATTATAAACTCGGGTTTTAACACATATAATTTCATTAGCCTCCAAATTTGGGACGTAAAGGTTATATGGGACAACTTTAAGGGTACACCCCATGCTATGCGGGACATAATTTTCACGTGAGACACATATGTTTGGTAAATGATTTTATCGTCTAATTCGTCTTCCATTCCTACAAGGATTTGTAGGCTAGGTAATACAATTCTTTCGGTTCTTAAGACGGCATTATTTGGGTCAGTGGCTCTCTAAAATGAAGCCACAAAAACTAAAATTAGAATTCGGTAGATGGAAAGTCTAAAATAACACTATCAAGCAGAGCACACAATTTTCGGGACCCAAAGTAATAAATTTCCATTAATTTGTACTGCGCGTCACTGATTTGTATCAATTTCGATTACTGGCTTCTTAAAATAAAAACTCACTATTCGTTCGCATCTTCGAAAATCGCAACATCGAATGACCTTCCCACAATCCTTAGGATTTTTTGGATTTTTTTTAATTTTTCGTTTAGCTTTATAGTTGACAGTGTTGACAGCTGACAAATACCAACTCGTAGACAGTGTTTAAGGTTACGATTACAGTACGCAATATTTTAAATTATATACAGGGTGTCCATAAGTTAATGGATTATAATTTAAAAAAAAACTGGAAGGGGTTAAGTTCTTTTTGTACTAGTTCATATATAACATAATTTGTCTGTTCAACGTAGTGTTTCCTATCTCCTGTCTCCTATCATATCTTATAAACAACTATTTTTCTCACCCTCTACACTGATCTAAAATCTAAACGGATTTATTTTCATTCAGAGAAACTATCCTTGAAATTTCTCTCATTCGCTTCCGAACATCCTATATAATGGCAGGTAATGCAATTTTCATATAGTAAAAATTTAAAGTTGCGGAGACGCTGCGTTAGACACAGGAGTATCAGATTCGGCCAATAAACAAGCAATAAACGGCTCGTCAACAGGGGCAAATCAATAAAAAGCTATTATTAATCGTTCCCATTTAATTAATAGCAGTTCAGTGACGTGTTCCCGAGAAGCACTCTCATTTATCAATATTATGATAACCCCGAGGAATGTTAAAAATGCATTTTTTCATCGCGCCTCGCTGAAGGCTGCTCGGTAACTTTCATTTGACAACAGGTTTTCTGTCATTTTCTTACTGCAATGCCTTCCACGATCGGTCGATCGTGCAATTAACGCAATGGGTGTAAATAATGACAAATATTATTTAGGTTTTATGAAACGATACGGTGTCAAGTGAAAATATGAGTGAAAGGAAGTTCGCCCGTGGGTTAGGGAAACCTGGAACTGCGGCACAATTAAGGGAGACGGTCTCGCAAGTCGTTAGGGAGAGCACTGTGCAAGTAAGCGAAAATACAAACTCGTAGCAGTTAAAAACTCACTCGTTTAAATACGTACATTTGAAACTGACACAAGCCATTCTCTGTAGAATTTTCATATTAAGTTTTTATTACATAATTGCTTAATTTTGTAATGTTACGCCTACTTTCATTTGCTGCGTCTCTAAAGGCGCGAACATAAACAAATATGCACGACGTAGTTGGCTGGAAATGGAAAATATTTTTAATTCGATCTTCAGTTATTTTTATCTTCTCAGCTTTCTGCCTCAAAAACATTATTGTAGAATTTGTAACTTCTTCAGGCATCACTAAATATAGCAAAAATTATACATCAGTCTAATTCAAGTAATTCCAAAATTTTGTTTACATTTAATTGCAACTATTTCAATTTCCTATTCAGAAATGTTTCTTGATGCTTGTTAATTAGTTAATTTTATAAAACAGTTTCCATTTACACAGTGGATATATTAATTGATATGCACAGGAAGTAATGTAAGGAATGATATGATAATAGATTACTGTACATAGGACGCATGTTTTCTACTGACACATTGGCCTTGTTCTAAAAACCCGTTTGTTTGACTTATAAATGTATTTATATTTGGTTTATAATTTTTTACAGACCAAGCCACATCTAGTTGAACCATTAGATTTTGAGAAATTTGTGATAAAAAACAAGACCGTCTTGCAAAATGACCCCCAAAGAGAGCTGTTGCTCTATCCCACAGATGATATATCGGTAAGTAGACAGAAGACTTGTGTTTTAATAAAAGAAATTATTGACTTTAATATAGTTAAAATATATTAATGTTATATTAACGACTCCAAAAAATGTGAAAAACCCGTTATTTGTGATAAAGTTTACCGGAACTAAAACCACATTTAAAGATATTATAGAAATTGATAACATATTAAGTAGGTATTAACGTATTAAATATTTGAATAATGCTTACATCATTATGTATTTAAATAAAATATATCTTTTAGCCAATTGTATTGCCTCGGAGATTTCGAACGGTATCGCAGAATATCCCCTCCATCAGCGAGACTGAAAGCTGCGGTCTTTTTACCAAGCAGTGCATCAGTAGCTATTCTACAAATTGGAACTTGATACACTACAAGTACAATGCATATTCGGGAAGTTACGCCGATCTACCACTTAGATTACAGGAGGGAAAATTTCAGGAGGAGGTATATGAGGTTGATATTGACACGGATGCTGTGGACGACCTGAAACCGCAGTTGGACAACATCACGAAGGAAGGTTTTCTCCTAAAGGGACCAGAAATAGGTAAGATTTATATATTTTATATATTTTTAAAAAGCAGGAGTGATTAGAATTTCTGTAGGATCCGAAAGGTCATTTGTAAACATCGGCTCAAAAAGCTTCAAAAGAAGGTATTGCTATTTGCGGCAAGAGGTGGACGGTACTTATATTTTAGAAATGTATAAGGACGAGAAGAAGGGCGAGGCCAAGGTTACTATCGTAATGGATTTTTGCACAGACGTCGTGAAGGTAGGTAATATATACGGGGTGTTTGGAAACTGTGGGCAAAAGATTTTGTGGAAGATTTCTGCTCGTGTTTTTCAAAAACTAATATTAACGCAGATACATAACCTCAAAATAAGTTATCAATCTTGTGACGTACGTGTAGGCATAATTCAACGCTGGACATCATCATTGTCATTGAAAAAAGCTTTTTAATAAAATATTATTTGCAAGGGTAGAACCCGTCTCCAAATTTTTTGCTCATAGTTTCCAGACGCCTGATATTAATTTTCTCGCTAACATTTTAGAATTTGAAACGGGGCCGATTCTGCTTCGAATTGCGTATGACGTCTGGACACAAGTCGTATTTACTGGCTGCAGACAATGAATCTGATCTCAAGGACTGGCTGAATAAGTTAAGCTCTGTTCTGCAGCAGAATAAAATCCAGGAAGAAAAGCGAGCCGCTTCCTTGGAAAGAGGTTAGTTTTTTTAATCTATAAATTTTTCTTGTATCCATTTCGTCACGACTAGCGAGGAATTATTTAACGTCCCTATAATTAATCTTTTTTATATCACGTTTTAGGAATATTGTATATTTAAATCATAATGAAACCAAATAATTTTGTATAGAAACCGAGTTGATACTCTTTTTATATTAAATTTCTGAATTTCTTAATTAAAAAATGTATTTTAGTTACAATCCATAATATCGCTTCACAGAACGCAGCACTCCGCCGCCATCCCCCCAAGTGCAGCCGTTCGGCACGCTGAAGGGCCTCGAGCAGAGCATGAACCCCCAGCTGATGCGGTACGCCCGAGAGACGGACGTCAGCATAGCAGCGGCACGCAAGGACCACCGTTCGAAGATATTCGACCTCTACCCCAGCCTAGCGATGAATCTCAAGTCGCAGAACTCTAGTCAGGACCAAGTCGAACCGTACAGAGAGATATTCGGCCACCGGGTGTTCCTCAAGTGCGAGAGCATCAAGTTGAAGCTGCAGGCCGTGGACGAGAAGGAGAACCTATGCCAAGTCGAGCCGTACCACACGACGCTGTGCCTATACGATGCCAAAAATGGAAGGAAACTGACTGAAAACTTCCATTTCGATGTTAATAGTACTAGTATAAGGAACACTTTTAGTAACGGTTTCTGTAGTGAGACGAAGAGCCATATCAAGCTGGAGCTGCCGCAGAGTTTACCCTCCGAGTGGTTGGTGTACCCCCGTCAGGCGCTGCTGAGCATCACGAATCCCCACCCGGACATTTTCCTGGTCGTGAGGATCGAGAAGGTGCTGCAGGGCGGGATCTGTCAGAGCAGCGAGCCCTACGTGAAGGCCCACAAGGACCCCAAGATCAGTTTGAAGGTGTACAAGAATATCGCCGTCTGCTGCCAGAGGTTGGGGAAGTACCGGATGCCGTTCGCTTGGGCCGCTCGGCCGCTGTTCAGGTGAGGGACGTAAATAATTGAAATATTGCATACGTCGACGGTTCAAGATTTAACGGACCTTTCTAGTGAATATTTTCCTTATTTTCTGCAATATTGAAAGATTTTAAACATTTAATTAACTCGACTATTTAAGGAGGTATATCGGGGTCCGAGGGAAGTGAGGAGCGCAGGGGGGGGGGTCTTATGCTTTTCTTATGGGACTAAAGCCCGCTACCAACTTGAAAAGATTAAATTCTATTGAAATTATTTGCGATAAACATTATCTATATAGCAAAGAAATCTACTCATATGCACATAGCGTACATATTGACTAATTAACAACATAAAAGTATCATATTTAGGTAGTATTAAATTATATTTAATGAACGCATAAAGATTATGTAGATGTGGCAACAGCGCTAATAATTGACTAGCAGTTGTACACACTGCGAACCTACAGGCCTCGCGGACATCGGAGATATTGCGCATCAAATTCTGGTAAAAATGTGTACGCGTTCAAAAAATTGTGTGTAAACTATGTAAAATATATTAATTATTTATAGCAAATATATCGTATTATCCTCGTGAAGATTTGTATCCTTTATTTAAAATCCGTAAATCATGCGAACTGGTAAAACAACGAGAATTATGTTAATTTAGTTCTAAAGAAATGAAATGACACTCGCGCCCATCTCTCGTCCAAGTCAAAGAAAATGTTGGATGCAATTTTGAAGGTTCTGTGATAGAAATTACATTATTACTCACTGTTCGTGTTTTTAATCTCTATTTTAGTAATGTTACAAAAGTTTTGCAACTATAACTAATTTTTTAGATATAAAGTTTGCTGAGAAATATTTATGTTCCTTTGTTA